TGCGTGCGTGTATGTGTGCGTGCCTGCGAGTGTGTGTATGCGTGCCTGCGTGCGTGTATGTGTGCGTGCTTGCGAGTGTGTGTGCATGTGTGTGTGTTTTTTTCGGTCCCCACAAAGGAAAACTCAATTTAATAAAAATCTGTAACTGCAATCAGAAAACTAAAAATAAAAAAATACCCTTGTATTTTGTTTGGTTACTTATGGTTAAGGTTAGGGCTGAGTAGGGGTTAAGGCTTTCATTGTTGGGATTAGGGTTATGCCAATAGAAATGAATGGATGATCCCCACAAAGATATGGATACAAGTCTGTGTGTGTGTGTGTGTGTGTGTGTGTGTGTGTGTACGTGTGTTTTCTGGTAGGTTTTAGGGTATGTCACATTCCTGCTAAAGTGGGCTGCAGTCCTCCTGGAATCCCTCTAAAACACACGAGCAGATTTAATGTCCTCATTAATACAACATGAAGGTTCCTGTTCCTCATACAGCAGAAGAAATGGACATTTCCACATTCGGAATTTTGAGGACATGTGTTTGCAACTCGTTTACGTATCACATGGGATCATGCCTTTTTCATGCCTTGCTGCTCCTTTAACACCCCGGAAACTGTGAGGGAGGGGGATTTTTCGCAGATAGACGACGAGGGTGCATGGGCACCGTGGTACGAGCTTCACAGGCGATTCCGTCAGCATGACCACCAGCGCTGCTCCAGCGAGATCAGGGGCCTCCCTATGAGCTCATGGCTGCCTTATCAAGCCCAGATGTGGTGACCGTAGCCCAGAGCTGGGCTTCTTCCCTGGGATACAGTAATGGGCGTCGGCATGACGCTGAGCTAACACCACCTCATTTAGATACTCATTAAGATACATAAACCAGCGCTGCAGAGCCTGGGTGTTTGCTTTTGAGCGTTTTGCTTTTTGGCCCCTCTGTCTTTCCATTTTAACGAAGCTGTGGCAGTAAACTGTTGAAGAGCTGAAATCTCACTTCTGAGTCACCCGAGTTGCCACAGTGCAACATACACATTCACAGAATTGTGCTGTACAGTCGAGAGCGCTGCCTTAATCTATCTCTGCCGCCTAGAAGTTTAAATTTGAAATAAATTAGAAAAGTCCTGTAAAGCTTTACCCAAACATACATGCCAGTTAGTTTAACCCGGCTGGCACTAAAAGCATAAAGATGACAAGTTTTAAAACACATCATTGTTTTGTTTTTGTTTGTACTGATTTAGAAATTCTTGTGTTTGTTCCAACATGACCTTTTTGAAGACATTTGATTGTCCAGAAAGGGTTATCTTAAGAGGGTAACTGTTGTATCTGCAAATCAGTGGGACCCAGCCTGCTGAATGAGGCAGGCTTTGTGTTTGACTGCATTTGATCTCATTTGGAATTCAGTGGGTCCCAAAGGCTGGCAACGCCTGGTACCAGGCTGCTCCGTGACATCATCTTGTGTGTGTGTGTTCGCTGGCGCGTTTCTGCGTGTCCTCTTGTGTTTGTGGGTCCCATCAGCATGCCACAGGTTCGTACCAGCCCAGCTCATTCCCAGCATGCTCGGCCCTAGCAGGCGGCACACACGTGGGTATGGCCAGCCCCCCGTTACTGGTACGGTGAATCCGAAATGAGACACGCCCCCTGCTGGTGCCTAAGCCAGGTATTGGTGCCACAGACAATGTCAAGCCTCCCTCTGTCAAACGTTATTTTAAAATAGTTGCAGAATAAAGACTCCGTGGCATGAGCTTCTTGTAATGGCCCCCAGTGCATGACTTTTTGGGGGGACCCCTCTTGCAAGGGTTTATATAAAGCCAAAATCAGACATACAAAAAAACAACTAATAAAGCCTCTGACCCCTTAGATATTAACGGTTAAATATCACAGATGTATCTTTGTGAAATATCCTTAAGGTATACAATATGGTATACAATAAGGTATACAATATGAACTTTTATAGCCTTATCATAAAAAAGAAAAAATGTCAGACACTCTAAGTACGACAGACTTCCCAGCCAGGAAAAGGCTAAATGCATCCTTTGGTTTCTGGTGGTTAATATTGCAATGAAACCTTCTTTGGTACAATAACAGATCAATAGCATCCTGATCCTCCCCGATAAGGGGCCCATCGACCCCCCTCATGGGGTCTCAGTGTGGCCCCACTGCCTGTAGTTCCACTAGTGGGGAGGTGGCTGGGCTTGGCATAGCTTGGACATGCATCATATTTTTGCTTATCTGGGTGGGGTTAGGATGGGAAAATACTAAGCATGTAATGAAGTCTCTAACCCAACCAGAAGAAGTGTGTTGGTGCAGAGGGTGGCGCGGTCCATCCCGGAAAAGTGCGGCTGTTCTCGTTCCTTTTGGCCTGTCCGTTATTTCCATCTGTCATTTCTGGCCCTGAAAAGTGTCACCTCTAAGAACGCCACTGTCAACTTTGCAGGTGAAGCCGAGGGTCATCGAGCCGCTGGACTACGAGAATGTGGTGCTCCAGAGGAAGACACAGATCCTGAGCGACGTCCTGAGGGATATGCTGCAGTTCCCCCTGGAGGACTTCCAGGTGAGTGATGTCACTGTTACATCACGTCATGGGGTCAAATGTGGGGGGCAGGAGCTGTGGTGGAACTGACCAATCAAGAACTGTAAAGGAAAGTGAGCCAGGCACACTGAAGAGCAGCATACCTTCTTGTTGTCCCTGGCTTTGTTGTCTGAAGATGGCTAATTAAGGTTTGCTAAGATGTTATTCGTCAGAGCGCTAGCTCAGCCATCTGCACCCTGCATGCTGCTCTGAACCCTGGTAATTTAATTTAAAGACACTCTATACAGCCTGGAGCGCGTGGTGGAGGAGATGGATAATCCCAGTCAGGCCTCAGGGACCAGCATATCTGAGCTCAGACACGAAACACAGCAGCTAAATGACATGGTTGAAGGAAAACACACACAGGTATATACAAGTAAGCATTATTACTAAAGGGCCATTTGCTTTTAAATTTGTAAATCACACAGGGGTTGTTTTCTCATGTTTAATTTGCAGATTCGGTCCCTTTAAATTGCAGACACTAATGTTATCTTCTCAGAGCCCCCAAAGGCAGGGATCGAAGGTTATGAAGATGATGACAGCAGACCAGATCCTTTGCTTCCTGTTTCACTTTCATCCTTTTGCTGTGAAACTCCCATCATTCCAATGCCAAGTGTTGCCATAGGAGCTGATTGCTGAGCGTGTCCTGGTTGCAGGAAGTAGATGTGGAAAATGCTTTTGTAGTGATGCAGGCACGTCCGCAAGGCCGTCCCATTATCTCACAAGCCATACGGCATTTCACTCTTCCTCGTTTACGTAGATGTTTCCTTTTCCCTCACAGTTCATCGCGTTCCCATATGTATGTCCAGTTGTTTCCTGGCTGGAGTATCCAGTGGTCAGATGCTGCTCTTTGCATTCCGCTCTCCTGTGCCTCCCCTCTTACCTTCTTTGCCATGTGCCAACAGGGATCCTGCCCATTTTCCTTAGAGTTTCTGGAAAAATGTAATTATTGATCTTACTTGTGGCTCCATGAACAAATTATTGAAGAAGGGAGGAATTTAATAGGCAACAGTTTTTCCAGTTGAGGGATCGCTACAGGGCAACAGAGGGCTGTGAAACTCATCATATGATGTTATAACCCTGAGTATAAGAAGGCCTCCATCCAGGGTGACCTCGGCCTTCTTTCCTGGGATTGGCTGCAGCCTCTCGGTGATGCAAACACTAAGGTGCTTAGACAAAGGGTTTCATCAGGACAGTTCCTGTGTTTTTTCCTATATAAGACCAGGATTATAAAGCCACCAAGCAACATTAAATACCTCATTCTCTCAGTCCCAGTGGAACATTTAATGTGTGACTTACTTTCAAGAAAGGTTAAAAAGGCCCATCTTTCCTGCTATAACCAGAGTTTTTTTCATTTATTTATGAAAACACACACATGCACATACTCCACAGACCTGCTGTGGGCTAGCAAAGGTCCTGTGAGGTCTTACATCCCAGGAAACACTGAGCAAACATGGGGGAGGACAGGTGTTCTTTTTTTTGGGGGGG